TGCGAATCATGTTGAGCAAATGCTTTGCCAAAGTGGCATTTGATAAATGAGACATTGAACTGACAGTTTTCAAGCAAGCAATGGAGTTGACAATGGAGAGTCCTGTCGATACCTATACGTGAGAAGAGCTTCAATCGCTGAAACCCAAGAACAATAAATTGCAATTCGGTAACTCAAACAGACATCTTTCAACGTTTCTCATTATTCGTCAATATTTCTCAAGGGTATTTGTGATAATTTGATAAAGAACTTGAGCTTGAACTTGATTATTTAATAAGAAATTCTTTTATTGCCATTGTGAGCTGATAATCAAATTTTGTTTATTACTGTTCTTTTGAAAACTAAGATTTAATTGAATTTAATTTCCTCAATTTTAAAATAATGCACCCTCAAACAATTTAAATATTCAATTGATTTTTCATGTTGCAGTCCCTCTTTTAATTAAAACAAGTGCACAACTATATGCCATGCACTCGAAACGCTGCAAGCAATAGAGAGGAGAATGTTGCATAAGCTTCGGCGACATTCAGAAAAATAAATAAGGTAGGAAAGGCAGAATGGTACAAAAAACGCACTAGCAATAAAACCTCACTTACATATTTTGTTCAATGCTGACAGCAAACAAATCTCAGCTTCCCAGAGAAAGACAAACATGCGCTGTCCATAAACGTGAACGAACACACACAAACGCACAGAAAGACAGACAGACAGACAGACAGACAGACAAACGGGTATACAAGTACGAGTACAGTGGAACAAGTTAGCGAGGCATAACATTGAAATTTCAAGATGCGTTTAGAAATCAACTCACGAGCGCAGCGAGTCAAGTCAAGCACTGCAAATAACTCGACTTGTGGAAATCGCTGTTACAAAATAGCATTGCGCATACGCCCCGTGACAGAGTCAGCGATGCACAGAGAGAAAAGAGTGTTGAAGTTCAAAGCTGCACCCTTTTAAAATTCAATTGCGATTCTTTTCGTTTTATTTTTTGTGAATACATTAAATGAAAATTAAATGAATTTTTAATGCGAATTCTATATTTTTAATAAAACACAATACCGATTCTACTAAATATTTAAAAACAAACAATACAAGTTTTCCCAACATCGAAAGAGCATCAAAGACTTTTTCGTCGAAATTAACTGCATTGGCTGTAATAATTATATTACATTTGTCCTATATTGAGAATCATATTAAGGACTTAGTGAGCTCAGTCGGCTAAATTTAATAAAACTTTAAGCAAATATTTGATTTATGGAGTAGAATGAAGAGTTCTAGACTTTAGTAGTCCCTAAGATTTCCCTTAAACGGAAATTTGTAATCTTGTCTAAAACTTCAAGACACTAGAAAAAACTAACAAACTGAATTTTAAAATTCATCACAAAATAAAAAGAATTTAATATCAAATCGTGTGTTTGTACTTATATTGTTATTAAATGTTCCAATATAACTTTAAGAATATTAAAACGAATTGTTCAAATAGAACCCAAATTTGTTTACTCTCTCTGCAACAAAATAATGGAATATAGAACGTAAGAAAATGTAAGGTAGAACTGTTGTAAAAACTATTGTTATTTTGTTCAGTGTCGAGATAGAGAAGGAGATAGAGACATTGACAGCACCGGCGGCGTGTGTTAATAATGCGTGACATAGAGTCAAGTCCAGGCAACGAGGAGCGTACAATGGTGGAGCGTGCAGGGCGACGTGCCTTGCAGGCGGCCAACGAATTGAGTTGCGAATTTTAAGTGACAGTGGATGCAGAGACAAAGGGGAACTGAGCGAAGAATTGCTGGCAGGACTGCGTTTGCGACAACTGCGACATTGTCAATGTGCTGCAGACACACACTACAGACACACACTACAGACACACACTACAGACACACACACTACTGACACACTCACACATAAAGACACTTTTACTATACGCCTTCGTTTTCACACACATTTGGCAGGCAAATCTTCAAAACATTTAAATTTGCGCTTCAAAAATGCAAAATGAATGTTTCAAATGTTTGCAAATGCTGGCATCCTTGCAGGCGCACACCATGTGTCTATGTGTGTGTGTGTGAATGTGTTAGAATTTCAATTTCCGCTGCCTCACACACACTCGCACATAAATGATGCCCACACTTTCACATTCATGCGAGTATACGAGTGTGCTAAGCACGTTAGTTGCCATCGCTTTTTACCAATTGCCGCCAATCAAAAGAAAACCGAAACCGAAGGACTCTGCCTGGTAACACTGGCAGCACGCTTTTGAGGAAATTAAATTGAATTGATTTTAACTGAGTGTCTGCGTATGTGTGAATGTGAATGGGTTGGTGTGTGTGCAAGTTTGCGAGTGCTCGTGTGCAATGTTTCGAGAAAAAACACAAAAGCGACGCCCCTTGTGATGTTGGCCGGACCGGGACCATGTATTTATTTCTTGGCCTGCTCTGCTCCTGCATATTTATATTATACACAGAAGTTAAATTGAAATTGACTTTGTGCTCACTTGAGAGCGAGAAGGCGACAAATGGTGACAGTGGTAGTGCCTGTATGGATCGAAGCTCCAATTTGGCTCCCAGAGGACGAAATTCTGACCTATATTTTAAGTCAATGATGTGGTAGGAAGTTTAAATTTATACACAACTCTGCTGGCCAGAGTCGATTCATGTTTAAAACGAATTCTTCGAGAGATTACAAAAAATTTATTCAATATAAATAGTAAATGCAAGTTTAGATTTTGCTGTGCCGTAAACTTTCGAAAAGGCTTCAAAATAATTCAGACTAATAATGAAGGATGAGAAACCTGTCATCAATTTTATTATAATTTTACAAAAGGGAATATCCTGAAACAGAATTAATTTTTGCATATTTTATTTTTTTTATGTATAGATATTAAATAATAATGCAGTTCACTTTTTTAGAGAACAGGTTCAAATAATTGCAAATTAAGAGCATAATTCCAATTGCTAAGTATATTACAAAATGCAGTTCCAATTTTATTAAATAAACCAAATTTTCCATAAAAAGCTATGTGGTTAAGTTTCATGTATGTATCCATCTGCTTAATTAATTGGAAATACATTTTTTATTCCTAAAATAATAAAAACATTCGTATTTTGCAAACTGCAAATAATTTGTGTTTAAAATATTACTATGTGTAGAATATAAAAACTTTTTGAAAGTCATATTTGATGCAAATGTGCTTGTTTCGAAGAAGTAAATATTTAAAATCAAAAACAAGTTGGGTCGTATTTATAAAAATATATATAGAAAAACTACCTTTAGTAATGAGTAATAACAGAAACTAAATAATTAAAATAGCTCATATAGATAAACCATTTCAAATTATAAGTAATATAATACAAAATTGAAATATTCAAAGCCAAAGCTACATGAAAAACTGTTTGCTTAGCAAAAAATGTAAGTTTAAAATTACTTCAAAGTATAGGGAATTTTTCTGAATTTTCTGATTAGCTATACTTCTGGTAGTTGCAACTTTTTGCAGCCTTTATCATGTCGCCCTTTAATTAAGAGTTTGCTTGTGTTAAGGTTGTTTTTGCTTTGTTTCCTATGCAGAGTTACTAATGATGGCATCACTTTAAGTGCCAGTTGTCAGCTAAGCCATGCCTCGGAAAGGCTTAAGTTGTCTATCTGAGAACTATTAGTATTCCCCCACCGCCCATTCACTTTGTGTAATCCTGGAAAATAATTACAAACTGCAATTATTAGCCAGCGTAATAAAATCGAGAGCTTACTTGCTTGCTTGCCAAACAAAATCCAATTAAATGGAAAACAAGTTGTGCTTTCCTATCCCCCTCCCCCTCCCACGCCACTCTCCCCCCACCATGGCAATGCAACTTAAGTTAATGCGTGCTAAATCGGAAAAACTTGGAAAAACTCAAGCCACCTGAGCGCAGATGCAGTGGCAGCGGCAGTGGACAGTGACAAGGGCGGGGCGGGGCGGGGCGGGGGCGGTGGGAGTGGCTGAGCAGCAGATATAACAGTCGCTGCGGCAGCTGAATAGAAGCTCGAGCGTTTTACTTAACTTTGCCTTTAGTTGATTTCATTTTCCTTTTTAGACAGGCACAAAATGACAATAAAGCATGAAATAAAATTGGAAAAAAAAAGAACAATAACAATAAGAACAGCAACAATAAGCAGCGGTGTTGCTGTTGCCTTGTTGTCATAAAGAAAAAAGTAGTGGGGGCGGGAACAACAGCTGGGAAAAAGTTCTTACTGGCGGCTTCAAATCGTATACGGCTTACTTTGCTTTTATTGTCAAAGCTGCAAGTTTCTCGCACGGTGTCTGGCACAATTGTCATTGGGGGGATAGTTAGGTGCGGGGGAGGGGGACGAGTGAAAGCAAACCGTAATGAAAGTGAAAAAATGTTGCCGCTGCCCCGCTGGCGCCTGGACACATGAAAAACTATTTCAATTGAGGTAGAAAATGAACGACAAGGACATAGAGGCATTCGTTTTTTGCAATCCTGCTTTTTTTTATCTTCCCGTCCTTACTGCTCATGAATTGCACCAAACTTTTTTACGTTTGTTAAAATGGTAGCATGAAAGGAATTTCGTTTTACGTTTCTACTTTTTAAGGCTTTTTAACCATTTTTTTTTCCTTTTCCCACTGTGTTTTTTTTTGCTTCTTTTTTGTTGGTAAAAAAACTGAAAAGTGTCAAGTGGCCCAAGCCGAGGCAAGTGTCAGGGCAAGGCGCGTTTGTGGGTGGCTGATCTTTCATGGCATTTGAACTAATAAATGTGAGATTACGAGGCTTGCTGTTTTCTTTTTTTTTTTTTGCTTTCAAGTATGACTCTTCATCTAGTCTTTGCTGGTCTGAGCAATGAAGGCCAAGTGCGTCTGTTTTTTCAGGCTGACTCATAAAAGAAAAACAGTTGTCATAGCAATGATAAGCACGACGAACCAAATGCAAAGCAAGTATACAAGTAGTGCTGGCACACTATAAAAGGGGATAGCCGTGGGCTATCCATCTAGCATTCGTCAACATGCATGGAAGTTCTCTGGTTGTTCTCTGCAGTTCTGTCCTGCTTCTCCTTTTCAATGGCACGCTTGCTGGAACCGGTACCTTTAAATATTGCCAGCCGCCTTTGTGTGGCAGAGGAATGAAGCATATTGCCTGCAAACATAATGGAGTGAGTAAACATCTTCGACGACGACACCGAACGAACAACGACAACGAACATTTTCGTAAAGATTAAAGGACAAAGGAATTTTTCATTATCCTGACGGAAAATATTCAAAATCTGTGGTTATTTTAAGCCTGTGGACAAAAATAATAAGAATTTTTGTAGTTTTAAGTTTGCAGCAAAATCTCTACAATAATTTCATTAATTTCAGTTCTTGCCTTTCAATTTTCATCAACTTAGATGCAACGCTTTGTTAGCTTCCGTGAAAGAGAATATCTAATTAAAAAGAAGAGAAATTATTCAACCATTACCTTGTTGGTAGTTCAAGAATGTAATGAATAGGAGAGAAAAAACAGTACCTCAGTAAGAATAAATGCGAATAGCTATCATTTAACTGCGAAGGAGTTAACTGCAGTTTGAATAATTGTCGACGAAATTCTCACATAGTGGTAAAAAAAATATAGCTTCAATTTAGTTGTGAATGCTAAGTCAAGTAAGGTTGTAATATGTTTCAGGTTTTATAACCTAATTCTCAGTTCAGCAGCCAAATTGTGAAAAGATAGCACTATTGTCCGAAGTATTTGTTTCTAAGATATAACTCTGCACATACAGGAGCTGGGCAAGGCTTGTCCCATCTCTACCCAGCTGATAAACATCTCAGGCCACCAGGCGCTCATTCTACATGAACATAACACGCTGCGCAACACGCTGGCAAGTGGAAAACTCTTCGATTTGCCTCCGCCAGAGAGGATGGCAACAATGCAGTGGAGCGATGAGCTGGCCATGTTGGCCGAACTGAATGTGAAGCAATGCCAGATGGTCTACGATCCATGCCACAACACCTATCAGTTCCGCAACTCCGGTCAAAATCTGGCGATACATAACATGACTATGCCAGTTGATACCACACGTATGACGGACGATCTATTGATCAAGGAATCCATAACCAAATGGTGGGATCAGTACGAGAATCTAACAGCGGCGCGCTTAGAGCACTTCCCCAAGGATAAGGCTGTGCAAGAGTAAGTAGGAGTAGTAAAAGGAAGCTGAGACAGCTGCTCTTGACTGTATCCTTCAGGGGTCTACGAAACTTTGCTGTCATGGCCCGCGATTCCAACACCCATGTCGGCTGTGCTGCTATACGCTTTGACCGGGAAAATGTCCAACAGTTTCTCTTGGCCTGCGACTATTCCGCCAACTATGCTGTTGACAAGCCACTCTATCGCCTCAAGAATGTTGGCTGTCAAAATGGTTACGACAAGGTCTTCACAGCCTTGTGTAAGGAGGGCGAGCAGTATAGGGATGTGGAGCCACTGGAGACAACCAGCAAAAAGCCAGCAAAGTAGACAACAAGTGATTGTTATAAAATAAAAGTGCAGCCATGTTTAGGCTTTTAGCATAACCCTCAACAATTTGTACTTTTATAAAGGCATCTGGTGGAGTGAGTAGACTATCTTGTGGGATTGAGTCGTGTGAAGAGGTTGTTTAGATACAAAATGCTTTTTAAAAACTTTGCTTCGTACAGTGTTATTTACGATTCCATAGAAAATTGTTTATAAACTAACAGCGAACTGTGCAAAATTTTCCATTTATTCTGAATATAAGCTACACTTCTTTTTGAGCTAAAAGAACAAATCTACATATTGTTTAGAAGAAATGAAATATTCATTTACTTGTAAAATAAAAGTAACCTTATTAAGTTTTTCATCTTCAATTGCCACCATATTCCTTTTTTTATACATTTCTGCTGTTAGTGATCTTGAAATATGGTTGAAATTAAACACACAATTTTAATTGAAAATATAAAATATTTGTAAAACATTTAAAAAAAAAAAACGGCTTTATAAATCCTTGAGTGATATTTCTGCTAATGAATTATGTTTTCTAAAGATTAATATATTTTATTCGTATTTATTTCAAGTCTGAATGAGTTGGGCTGCAGGTTGGAAATGAAATTTATTGGATCGGTTGCTAAATCGAATATAATAGGCAAGGTCAAGCAACCTAACTATTTGGAAAATATTGAATATATAGCATTGTGGTGTGCTGTGGTTTGTTTAAATTTAAGAGGTTTTTACAGTTTTGTTCTCTTGTCCGAACGCCACTTATATGTATAAGGGATTGTTTTACTGTTGGTTGGCAGACATGGAAGACGACACATGGAGAACACATTTTGTGACAGACTATTTAACATGTTGATTTGTGTCACTGTATGTCGTGACAATATATCACATAACATCGCGACACACGCGCACACACACACACACACACAGATTGGAGCTGGTTTATGACAGCTCCCAATGGTATGTTTCGGGCGCACTTTTTTACTTACATGCTCGTACTAGCTTGTCAGCCACCTGCAGGCGCTGGCCCATCACCATCACCATCATCAAGAGTAGGAGAGCAGCAGGCGACGCAAAAATATGATATGTGTTCATTTTTTGGTATCCACTCAGAAGGGGCAGCAAGGGGACAAGGGGACAAGGTGGGCAAGAGGCGAGCATCGCATCGAGCGACAAGTTGGCATCCAATTTTAATGTCAATATACAAAATGTTAAGACGTGTCTTCATCAGGGCGCCAAAGGGCCAAAGGCATGGCATATAATCTGCAGCCACCAAGCGAGCCAAGCACTCCCTCACAGTTGGCTCGCCTACAAGCACCACCACCACCACCACCAACGCCTGCGCCACCTCCACCTCCACCGTCAGCCCCCACCCCTCCTGCCTTTACATTTTAAGTGCCTATTAATAATGTTGTCGGCTGGCAGTGCACATTTCTTTTTCGTTGTTGTTCTCCCAAGTTGCGGCTTGCTTTATTTTTAGTGTCCATCTTCAGCGTCACAAGAATCGTCGTCGTCGTCGTCGTTGTCGTTGTCGTCCACCTCCTCGTCATCGTCTCTATGCTCATCAGTGTCGCCTGCCTATTTAATATGCCGTTATGTCGTGCGGCATGAAATCTCAGCATCATTAACATACACAAGAAATAAATAAAGTAAAAAACAAACGATGCTTAAATTTAGATGTGTCTTGCTTTAGCCATTTCTGTTTTTTTTCCCACTCCCCTCAAGCATCTGACCCATCAACATTTTCACATTCACACATAATTAATAGACGCCTTAATAGCGTCTACATCAATTATTCCTAAATTGAATGTTGTTGGAGCGGCACTCAGTTAATTAGTAGGGGTCGGCACTTGGTGGGCAAAGGTGTCACATTTGATTTTTTATTTTTGGGTTCATTCAATTGAAAAACAATTAGACAACTCAAATAATGAATTAACAATTATGCACCGCAAATATTTGTGGCGCAATTCAACTGCAGTGATTGCTTACTAAATTATGCAACATTTGCATTTGTATTATTTACCAAAATTACACAAATTCCTAAACACTTCCTCTAATTTAGTCTACAATACTTTTTGCCGCTCAGATGGAGGTTTTTATTTGTAATGCTCATTAAAAACATGTAAAAACAGCAGCAGCCAACATACTTTGACGCTTGTGTGCTATATACACATACTATATACGTATACGTATACATATACATATACAAGTATACAAGTCTGTATGCGTGTGTGAACATAAAACTTAAATGAGCATTGCCAGACGAAAAATGTGTAAATATTTTCACAGTAGAGCGCCTCTAACTATTGAAACAGTCATAAAAGAAAAATATCAGCAAAAAAATGGAATTAGTTGCATATTTTTCTATCGATTTACTTCGTATAGTCATGCCTCTAATGTTGTTTTAAAAACTAAGTTTCATTGAGATAAATGTTAGTTATTTTCGAAATTGTGTTTTTAAACTGTTTTTTAAATGTTGGTGTCAAACAAAATTATATGTTAGGTTACGATAGGTGTTTAAAATAACAGTGGAATTTCAATTGCGTCGGGACAATGCTAAATAAAGATCAAGTTCAAATAACCGTATAAAGTCTTGATAAATACTTCGATGTGGGGTATGAAAAAGGAATGTTTAAAAGAAGGTGTAGGACTTGAAAAGGGCCTAGTTGAGAAATATAAATTAATAACAATGCAAAGAAAACTTGATTATAATTTTACGCAATTTTTCCGAGCAACATTTTCTTATTTTTTTATTTTTATTACAAAAAAGCGTGAATAGTTTGCTGCTATTTATAAAAAATGTACGCATTTTAATTGTCTACAGCATAAAGCAAAATTCATTTTACATATTTTAGAAACTATTAAGCAAATGTCAAACTTTCCAAAAACATTTTTAATTACCATTTTATGGCATGTTGGTTTTTTATTGGCCGAAATCAACCAGAAACTGAATGGGAAGGTCAAAAATTTAAATAAACATAAATTATAAATGAATATACTATCAATGTGTTGACATACTGAAATGGGTGCAAGATGTGCTATCCAGCGATAATTAAATGGAGGCATTCCTTTATCTATATCGAGCACATACCGTGTATATCTATAGCGCTAATCCATGTTTGCCCAGCCCCCTCACACCCATAAGCTTGAGAATTTTATTGTTGACATGATTTTGGCCACGGCAGCCGCCGCACATAAAATGAAATTAATGCCCAAATTATAGCCGCCCCCTGGTACAAAATGAAAATATGGCGCTGGCTCTTATTGCGTAAAGCTGTGTAAAATGTTGCCGAATTTAAACCAAAGTTAATACAATATTAGTTCAAAATATGCATAAATTACGAAGGCGTGCGCCGCAGCCCGAAATATGAAAACAAAGCGTTCATGATTTATAATGGACATGGGTTTATTTTGATGTTGGGCGAGCGGGAGGATTTTGGTAAATAAATGGGCACTCAAATGTGTCAACTAAAACTAAATGGAAATTTATTTAATTATAATTATGTAATATAGTAAGTTGGGACGAGTGAAATGTGAGCCATAAATATGAGTTAACGCAAATGTATTTCTCATCTCGCTGCTCATCACTTGTGTGCATCACTTGGCCATCTTATTATGCGTGTCTAAAAATATAAAAAGGCAATCAAAAAGTTTTCGCAAATTCATATGATAGCCAAATAGCCTAGCCCGTATAGGCTATTCCATGGTGTCTGCACAAACTTTTGATTTATATATTTGATATTTGTCCACAAACAAATACAAATACAAATACAAATACATACAAATCCGCAGTCACATAAAAATGAAAGCACAGACATTTGATGACATTTGAACATAAAGCAATATCGAAACAAGCTGGCAAACAAATTTTGAACAAGACCAATAAAAACGAAATAGGCTTTCAGCTGATGTTGCTCCCTCGTACGAGTCGCCAACAATAATAACAACAGCAAAAATGTTTGATTTATATGCGCCAATTTGCCACAGAATTTCTCGAGAACGCGGCCAACACATTTAAGATGCCGCAAATGCCTTTGCCGCCCAACCAAATGTCCAAATATGTATACTTATATTTATGCGAGTATATGTGGGTATGTGCGAATGTGTGTGTTGGGTCATGCAAATGTTATAATAAATGACAGTAAAACTTTGGCCAGCATAAAGCCCAAGGGTGTGCAAAAAAGGGCTACAAATGTCGCATATTTCCATGCTTGAGTGCTTTCTTAAACATACATATATAAAACACTGTGAAAAAGTATTCACTTAAGTACGGAATGGTTGCAAAAATTAGACTATATTCTTACCTTATTTTATGTACTTATTTGTCAATTTTATTTAATATTAGCTCCACCTTTGTGCAATTTTTAAATGCCGATATTGAGACTCTTTGTATCCATAATCTGAAAAATGAAAACAGTTCGTTGTTTAATAAACAATAATTACTTTAAAGACAACCCAGAAGCAGCTTGTGATTGTTTCTCATTTTAAATATTTATGTAATAATTTATCATTTTGCTGTTCAATTAATCCACATTTAATCTCTACAAAAAGACTTCTCCATGATTTGTATTTCCTATTTGAATGAATTTATCTAAAACTAGATTCTTAAATTCTTAAAAAGTGTTTGAAAAAGTGTGTTTGAGCATAGCTATATGACTATTACTAGAATAAAATATATAAATTTTATAACAATAACAAATGAATATGTTTCCTTAGATTTATTCGACGAAAAGCACTTTATTTTGTTCGATTACTTATGCAAATGGTTTCCAATGATATTGCTTAATTATATTTTATAATATTAATTAACACATTTATCAAACACTATTCACATTTATTAAAATGGATAAAACACATTAAAAATAATTAAAAAAGTGTATAAAATGAATTTATAATTAAAAATACACACAAAAGAAATCAAACCAAACAATTATATGAGCATCATTTAATTTCCATTTGACACCAATTCATTACCTTTCAAAAATAAGTTTTAATTAAATCTATTTTGCATAGCTAAGAATATACTTGTAGTAAATATAGTTACAAACTACGCTGCAAAACTTAAGAACGTAGAAGGAATTTTTTCTCTCTGCATGCTAGTTTGTTTGCATTGTAGCTGTTTTGGCCATTGTTAAGTTTTAGTGGCTCAAATTGTCAGCCAAGTTCT